TCAACGACCGCGTCTTCAACCCCCCCTCACACCTTCAATTCGGCGAACAACAGCGTAAACTACCCGTATACGGCCACGCGTTAGCAGGCACAATGGCAGGATGGACAGTATCCTTCATCGCCGCGCCGGTGGAACACATCAAGGCACGTCTGCAAGTACAATACGCCGCGGATAAGAAGTCGCGACTGTACTCCGGGCCGATCGACTGCCTCAAGAAGATATACACCGGTCATGGAATGAGGGGCGTATATCACGGTCTCAGCGCTACACTGCTCTTCCGTACATTCTTCTGCTTCTGGTGGGGAACCTATGACCTTTTTACGCGGCAATTGCAACAGCGGACTTCGCTGTCTGCTCCTGCTGTCAATTTCTGGGCGGGAGGTTTGTCGGCGCAGGTTTTTTGGTTAACGAGCTATCCGAGTGATGTGATTAAGCAGCGTATCATGACGGATCCGCTGGCACAAAGAAAGTTTCCGAGGTGGAGAGATGCCGCGAAAGCGGTGTACAGGGAGCAAGGCTGGAAAGGGTACTGGCGGGGTTTCGTGCCATGCTTCCTCAGGGCGTTCCCGGCGAATGCCATGGCATTGGTGGCGTTTGAGGGTGTCATGAGGAGTTTGCCAGAATAAAGCGACCCATACATCCTCGCTCACACCACCACATCTTTTTGGAATTAGCGACTCATAGCATTGTGATACCACTCATAGACGGTAGATGTATTATTCAGTCAAATACAATATAGCAAGACGACGTTCCTCTTTTCGTCAGGTCATCATATCGTTTTCGTAGCCTCTTGTCACATAAATCATACCTCATAGCTTGCCCTTGCCGTCCTCAAGCTCGCAGAAGGCCTTGAATGTTACCAGACCCTCTGCGCCCTCCTCGTCCTCGGCATCGACATCGCTCTTGATGACGACCTCAGCAGTGGCACCAACGAAGTAGACGTAGCCCTCTTGGATCTCCTCCTCCTTTGGTCCCACGCTAATCGTTCCCTTGCCCTTGGTGCACAAAATGATGCTTGGTCCATCGATCGGATCAAATGTCGCCTTTCCACCTACCCGGTTAAGTGCAGTCCTTACTACGGCGAATTCGGGGATCGGTGGGTTGTACAGCTTGTTGCTGCTGTTGGAGCTATATGCCGGTGCGTTCAGTCTGACCTGTGAGTAGTCTCTAGGCTCCATCTTTTGCTCGCTGATCGGCGCATAGCTGTACGTCAGCATCTTCGTTAGGTTGTCCACGTCCTTGAATTTTGGTGTGAAGCCTGCGCGGACAACGTTGTCGGAGCTCGCCATGCATTCGATGATGTCGCCAGAGAGGTAGGCGTGGATGTCGTCAGCCTTGAGGAACATGGCTTCGCCAATGTCGAGCTTGACGTAGTTGAGGAAGAACTGGACGAAGAGACCGATGTCACCAGGGAATTGGGAGTTGAGGCGAACAACGAGGTCTGCGAGCTCTTTGCCGTCGTTGGAGGGTGGACCGCCGTCCGCGAACTTGTCGCCCTCAGACTCCGCTGCCTTGACGAGCTCTTCACTGGCAGATGATAGCGCGTCCTTGTCCGTGTTCATGAGCTTTGTAAAGGCAGATTGCAGAGCCTTTTTGTTCTCCTGCATATCCTCTTCCTTGTCCGATGTCTCCTTGCCACTGATGGTGTCTTCAAACTTCTTTGCCTCTTCTTCACCTACTAACTTTCGCAATGAAGGAACGGTCTTGAGGAAATGGGCGATTTCGGTGAGGGGTCGGAAGCCGCAGAGGCCGTCGAAGGGAGTGACCGCAATGGTCATTTCGGGCTTGTGGTTGTCATCTAGTGAGGTCAGTATTTCTCTTGGAAATTTCCGTAATTATGCTGACCTGGGTAGTTCTTGGGGTCGCTTGCATGCAACTGTTCGGCAAGCTTCTTATTCGGGTGTGCCTGGATGCTCAGGGCCTTGTTGATGGAAAGGACCTTGAACAGGAAGGGAAGCTTGTTCTCATAGCGCTCGGCAATATCTGTTGATAACAGGGCTTGGTTTTCTTCGAAAAGGTCGAGAAGTGTTCGCTGGGTTTCCTTGTCTTTGGAAGGGAGCGACGGGTGTGTGCCCATCCATAGCTAACCGTGTCAACGACGCGTCAATCGCAAGCTGGAATTTCATACCTCGGCATATGGCTTCTCCTCTTCAATCGAGAAGTCTGAAGCGTTTGCAGCGTGGAACTTGGCGGCTGCAGACTCTTTGCCGACTTTGCCTGGGTTGGTTCAGCATACTGCTGGGGCGAAAGTGAGTGATGACGCGGGGCACGCACCCCAGTCGTAGCTGTTAACACCTGGATTTAGTTAGCCAATGCTGGCTCAAACCAATTTCACTATCTTGACCTACCGCATTCTAGTCTGATAAGAGGGTTCCGCATCTTGAATATGGTTCGGTCGAGTGTGGAGGTTGCGAATGTATTGCGATGCCGCGAATTGGCGGAGGAGCTCTGGGCGGGGTCCACTTGTTTGGTCCCGCACAATCGTCACCCTGCCGTTGGTTTAGGCTCATCCCCTCTCCCATGACTAGCGTACCCTACCCTGCATCCCGCCGACTACATGCCCCGACGTTGATCATCTGCAGCTACTTCCCTTCCTCCACCTCAGTCTGTCGCTTCCACACCACCACATGAACTACCTGCAGCGCCTTAGGTAACACGAAAAGAGCTGGGGAGTTGACGGGCCACAACTTCCTCAACATGGCAGCCCGCAGCAGGCCCCGTGGTCAGTTGAAGGAGGAGTTCGACGAGGAAAGAGCCCTCTGGAACTCGATCAAAGCTGACGGACGTCGCGTTGATCAACTCATGGTACGAATATACTTTCTTCATTAACACCAGCATTACAATTTGCATCTCCATATCTATCGCCAGCATTCCTCACCATGAGCGAAGTACCGCGTAATCTTCGCGATTCTCAAGGCTACGTGGGCCATAACCGAAATAAATATGGAAGAGATCCAGAGGAGGAGCGGGATCTCTGGAAACAGATCAAGACAGATGCCAGACGCGCCGACAAATGCATGGTATTACACAGACCGTGCCTTGTCGCATGCATTACTTAAATCATCTACACATAGATCCGCTTCCTTGCTGACATGCCACAGAAAGAGTCGGATGCCTTGCAAGAGAAAATCACCGCCCTCGTCGCAGAACAGTCTGCTCGTCAGCGTTCGTTGCCCAACTGACTACTACATATTCGTCCCACTGTGCTAACCCGGCTAGACCGCGGCGAGGAAACCTCAGCCCGTATTGATGACGAGCTTGAAGACCTTCTGCGCGAAAACATACGTAATCTAAACGAGGCACAGACCCTTCTCCAGCAGGTCGAAGGCGGCAACGATGTCTCCACTCAGATAGAACTTCTGGCTGCCCTCCGTCAGTCGGAAGAGGCCCCGCCCTCAGCATCACGAGCCACCAGCGTTGGGCACGGGAAGTCTGGACGCGACCGCCAAGGCAAGCGAAAGCACAACGACAACATCGACGACCGCGACAGCATGGCTGCGGACAGTCCTGGAGGTCCCAGTCCAAAGGTCGTTATCAGCAGTCAGAAAGATCGACTGGTAGCCAAGTCGGGCAGTAGCAGAGCAGGATCGGTACCTGTTGCGAGAGAGGGCAGTGTGAAGATGGACGAAGACGACTCGGGTAAGGGTAAGATGGTTCTTCCTCCTTCCAAAACCAAGCCCACAATCAAGTACAAGACCAAGCGTTGAGCTGTACTTTGCTATCGGCGTTCACCTTAGACGGCAGACGATACCCACTGGCATTTTTCCTTTCGGCTTGTTCGAGGTTTGTAGTCGGATAGGCAAGCTCATAATCTCACCTCATCTGATCTCATACTTCTTTTCATGTGCTCATGCCACCATGTACCATCTCTTCTATCACAGCGCCCTTTTTACACATCATCCCAAGTCCCTTCAGACACCACGTCAACTGACGATATTATTATAGAAATCCGACCACGTCTTTCGCCACAGACAGAGGTCCTCTACCGAAACAACGCGAAGAACCGCTCTTCAGCGTCCTCCATGTCGTTCGAGGGCGAGGGCATCCTATGCCGCGTGACATCCGTAATCGGCGAAGGAAAGCAACGTCGGTACGAGATCATCGATGCTGATCCAGACCCACCGACACCATCAGTACCATACCGTGCTTCCGTCAATCATCTGATACCCATCCCACCACCCTCATCAAACACCACATTACCAGACCTTAGCAAAGGCAAGAATGTTCTCGCTCTCTACCCAGGTACCACTACTTTCTACAAAGCGGAAGTGGTGGCTGTCTGGAAGCAGAGTGATGGTAAGGTCAAGAAAGAAGATGGTGGCAAAGACGGAGATGGTGTGGACAATCTCGTTAGGTTGAGGTTTGAAGGTGAAGATGAGGCAGATCGCGAGATGAGTGTAGAAAGGAGGTATGTGCTGCCTGATAGATGAGCGAGTAGCACTTCGGCTCCCCAGGGAGGGATGGACTTTCGGTCATAGTAGGCTCGCATCGAGTCTCATTGTGGAGTGTTGGATACCATTGGGGGAGGTTGTTCTTTGGCATGGGTTGGCTGCGGATACCTCTTGTGGTGTATTTTTGCTTTTTACCCTCGCATACTCTATTCACGCTTTCTTTACTTAGTACTATCGATACCTTATCACTAAAAAGTCATACCCATCTGCAATGGTTCGCTGTCTAGTCAAGCCATAGAGTGTGGCCAAGCCGCTAGCATCAAAGCAAGCAAGCGCCATTTGGACACGTCCCAGAGCGCATCGCCAACACGCCTCAAGACTCCGCAACGCGAACCAACCTGACCCCGCACAAGACGCAGAAAAGCATTCTATACCCCGATCTAGTGTCGCGTCACTGAGAAGATCTTGGTAGGCGCCTACGATCCCACCATCAGACTTCCAATCCAATCACAAGCCCGACTACCGAAGCCATCAAGCCCGCGCCGCACGCCAACTCCACCAATATCCGCAGCTACCTAATCTCCACCACCCACCCACACTATTGTCGACATGAACAACTTCTCTTTCCTCGAGTCCTCCCAACAACAAGCCGCCCAGCAACAGCACAATCAAAATCGCCCTCCGCCCTCTCCCTCACATTCACAAGCCGGCAGTATTGCAGGATCGCAAGTTAACGGCGGCGGCCAAAACGGCGTTCCAATGGTTAATGGCCTACCCAGCGGCGGCCAGCAGACGGACATGAATCATCTGTGGGCGGTGGTGCAGCAGCTGAGTCAATTGCTAGAAGAGAACAAGGCGCAAACGAGGGGTATCGTGGAGGGTGTCGCTGCGATACAAGGGAGGGCTGCACAAGAAGAGGGAGGTGAGGTCGGTGGGCTCAATCCGAGAAGTGCAAGTGGAATGGGCATGAGGGAGGTTAATGGAGAGATCAATGGTATGTTAAGGTCTGCATTGAGAGGGTTTGGACGGCGATGTCCGTCTGGACTCGGATGAACACATACTGACCCACATTACAGCAGCGACAGTAGCACATCTACAATCACAGCTCTCGAGCGCGCAAACAACCATCGCATCCCTGACTTCAACCAATACATCTCTCTCCGCCCTCCTCACCGACTACGAATCCGCTTTGACCCTCCTCCTCGATAAACTTCGTCCGTACGCTTATTCGCAAACCTCGGCCATGCTCGCTCTACACAAACACTACCAGGGGCTTCTTGACCAAGAACGCTCGACATCTATGGCACTGCGGCTTGAACACGCAGACTGGCAGGCTGGGCTGAGTCGCGTCGCGGAGAACGCAAGGAGCGCATTAAGATGCCAGAGCGAAGTCGAACAAGGATTGAGGGGCAGATGTAAAGAGTTAGGCGAAGAGAATCGCGTGTTGAGACGGATGGTGGGGTGGGAAGAGAGGGAAAGTAGTGATGATGAGGGCGAGGACAAGGCATAGTTGGGCTCCTGTAAGATGTCATAAGAGGTGCATGCTGCACGCATTTTTGTTATGCATAGCGTTGGCGTTTGGGGATATCACAAGTCGGTCACGCCTCAGGAAGGGCATACCCACGGCTGGCGTATTCTTTCACCAATTGGACGATACTGGAAGACAGGAATGTCACACATACTCAATTACAAGCTCCCACGTCACTTTCAAGCAAACAAGATTCTGGATACATATCTACATGAAAGTAGTACCGTTCGCCGAATCTTTCATTTGAAACCGCCCCGATATCGTACACTGGAAGTTTACTATACAGGACGCATCACCCGGCCCCTGGAGCCACCAACATCTCCACCATTCTCTCCATAACGATAAAAGATCGCAATCCACCCTACGACATGATACGCATCCGCATCCCTCACAACTCCCAAAAAATCTCCTTCAAAACCATGCACGTCATAGGTACCATCGTCTTGATACACAACTGAAGCTACGTTGTGCATCTCGCACATGATGGTGTGGCCCTCTGCTTGAAGCCAGGAGCGCGTATCGGCCACGTCTTGTTGCGAGACTGTGGGATGGGCGGGAGGTAGGTTGGCTAGTTCTGTGGCCGGGGGGAGAGGAAAGAGAGAGTCTGTTGATGGAGATGTTGAGGGTGGGGATGGTGAAGATGGGGATGGAGATTGGGAGCGCGAATGACGGCGCTGTACTTCTCCATAGGGTAGTATTTCAGCGCTCCTGAAATCGTGTAATTCGTGCAAGGCTCCTACGACGATCTCTGCGTTTAGTTCTTCCCGGAAACGTTGATGGATAGCATCGTTGCGTGCTATGATAGCTTGCTCGATTGTACCGGTATTCACGGGACTTGTTCCAGGATCAGAAAGTTCGAAGCTTTCAGGATGGGCAAGTTCGGGGGGGTCTTGACTGGTTGCGTCCTCGAGGATTTCGCCTTCCTCTGAACCTTCTTCGTGCTCGTGGGTATGAGCAGATGCCCACCTCTCGTAGTCCTCTGAATCCTCGTCAGCCTGACGGTCGTCGTCGTGTTGCTCTTGCTGGTGATTCTCATTGTCCTCTGCATTCTCCGCGGCCCTCGCTTCGAATTCTTGCATATTCTGCGGGACCCAGACCTCGCCAATGAAGTTGGAACCCCTAATCATCCAGTTCACACAGTTCACTAGCCCACTGCGTCTCGTCTCAAGCTCTTGGCTTGCCCTAGAGCCAGCAAGACCGTCCTCGCTGAGCCTGTTCCGGATATGATTCGCTACGATAAGCTCAAGCCAGTTGTCCCCGATCTCTTCATGCCAGTCGCATATGAACTCGTGCGCTTGGGGATGATGTTCACGATGCCAATGCCTCCTCACTTCGCATACAATGTACACAAAATCCAGGTCATCATTCCGGATTTCTGCATCGTACCATGAGTCAGCGTAAGCCATAAGCCAGTAGTAAGCCTCGCGGTTGTATGCACCCTCGTTGTGCTCTTCTTCGTTATCGCGTATTTGTTCGGGTGCCAGAGCATTAAGGAGACAGAAGACCGTCCGGCACATGGGACAGGCGTTGCGGTTCTCACTGGCTGAATTAATCCAGTCGAGACAACATTCATTGTGGAAGATGTGGCCGCATGGAAGGCGCACTGCAACGCCATTGTTCCAGTTGAAGTCTTCCCAGCATATACTGCAGGACTCGGGAAGCTGCTCGGAGTACTGAACGGACCCATCCATGGTAGCTATGAATTGCCCCATTGCGGGCAAGTCTGGCACGCCACCATCTTGCTGGTCAGGAACTGGAGCGGAAGTTTGCATCGACATGGTTGAGTTGAGTTAGGGGTGTTGCTTGCTTGACAGTTGGGGGCAAACGAGTGGAAGCTTATATACAGACTCCTTGGGGTTCATCGGGTCTTTCCCACAGGGAAAGCGATGCTCAGTACATGTTGCGGGTAGGGTATTTCACTTCGCGCATCGCCACGACTATATACCCCACATGTACTGCTACCTATAGCCATTCACTATGAAGGCAGTCACATGGCTATATATAAAGCACGAGAAGCGGAATCACCCACCGCTGCAGTCCACACTAAAAACACACTCGCACACCACACTCAACCAGCTCGCACACCCTGCGCTGATATGGCGTCCAACATCCTCCCCAGCCTCGAGCACTTCCTCGGCGAGCGAATTCATCAACAAGCCCGAGACTTCGGGACCATCCGCGACTCGAACTGCGCGATATGTCTGGAGCTCCTGCAGGTAGACCCCCAAGAACCGAGTACCCGCCTCGCTCAACTCCCCTGTCAACATACACTGCACCTCCAATGTCTACGAGACATGACGGAAGGCTACACCGACAACCGCAACAAGTGCCCAAGCTGTCGACAAGAGCTCTTCGAATTGAACTTGCTACCCCCAGCAACGGAAGCGCTTGCGCGCAAAGATAAGGAGACGTATTACGACCGTGATGCGTCTTTTGACACCAAGCGCTATACTGAGCTATTGACGATCACCGACAGCCTTTTCGACGAGCAACGCAGACTCCATGGAACTGGTTCGGAATGCTATGTCGGGATTCCAAAACGTGTATGCGCATCGCGGATCCAGGCGGGGCTTCAATGGGTTATGATATGCGAGATGCACGCTGCGGCTGAATCCGCATGGTTGGAGCTTGAGGTTGCTCGGCGTGTGGAGGACCAGCTTAGACATGCTGATATGTTGGAGACTTGGTCCGGTCGTATCTTCATGGGTGCGTTGGAGGTTATGCAGGATATGTTCGATGAACAGTTCCAGTGTTCGGATGATGAACGCGAGCCCGAGGACCGTGTTTCGGTAATGGACGAGGATGAGGAGGAGGAGGAGGAGGATGAAGGAAATGAAGAGGAAAATGAACGACCAACCCCGCAGCCGTTGAGAGGATCCATGAACGAGATTTTCGGCGAAGCTCTTGCAGCGCCGTGGACTCCTACATCTCGAGATTATCGTCCGACCGAACAGTCTCCGAGCCCTCTGAGGGTTACACCACGGCGGTGGTCAACCCAGAGTCTCCCACTACCAAGCCCGGATACGACATTGATGGTCGAAGACTGGTGCAGAGAGACGCAATCCGCACCGTCAGCTGCAAGTTCACCTACGTTTTCACATACATCATCAGACGACATATTCGCAGCCCACGTATTGAATAATGTCGGCCGACAAAACCAAAGCGCTCAGCAGCGGTTTCTCCAAACCCGCGAGAGACTTCGGCGAGATCGAGTCATCGTCCTTGAGGTACTTAACGTGGCCTCGGCGGAAATATATGGGAACCGGGCGCGACGGATCACACTGCTTTCTGGAGTTGTAATTGGGATTGTGAGGGATGTTGATGGATACGACATGGTGGGTAGTATGGCGATATTTTGGCGTTGGAAAGCACAGGGTTGATGTGCTTCGAGTGCGTTTGGACGTCAGAATGACAGGTGATGGGTTGGTTTGCAGGCTACAAACGCTGTTTGTGCGTTCGAGTAGAGGGGTATCAATTGGTTTGTTTGCTTCGATCGTTTGAGGTTCGTGGCGCCTGACCTTCGCGCTGCCTTGTCGGGACGACATGGTGTTTTAAGAAAAGTGATGGCGTCATTGACGAACGACGTTCACGCCGACAGCGCACGTTGGACGTCACGCTGATGAATACTTCGTCCCATGTATTCCCCCTCTAGCGCCATCTCAGGTGTACAAGTACCTCTCCAATCCCCCCAACTTCTTCTTTCCTCATCACTCAGACATGGTCTGACCAAAAATGACTACCCTCACATGGGATGTCTGTCTAAAAACACGATTCCTACCCTGTCATGGGTTTTGTTGGAGTTGAGAAGAAGATTGCGATGTCGATCGATATGACTTGAGATGGTCTATTGACATGGCGCACTAGATTTTGATTTGAGCTGTGACTCTGAACATGACTTTCGCGATGGATTTTTGTACCTAAGCATAAAAGATGACATGAATAAAAATAGGAGATTTTTGAATAAGCAATGATTAGAATAACGGACGAATAACCATCCCAACTCGCATGCCCAGACGTCCGCTCGCTAACCCCCGTCCTTACCCCAGACTTCTACCTCGGCACAACTAGCAATCCCCCGCTTATCGCACCTCACCACTTTCACTTCCGTCCCCCGTCCGAGTCCACTTCTAACGCAATCGAGCTACCCGACGTGCTGTCTTGGACTAGTCACCCCGTTTATGCAGCGGCGTCAGCAGAGATGCCTCGGGGTAGAGTAGAACCGGTGGATGGGTGCGCTGGGTTACACCATGCATGTATCGCGACTTCCCATCTCGAAAAGTGTCGCTGTTATATTTCAGACATTTGGATCACTAAGCAGGAGAAGGAATCGGTAGAACGTAAGTTACTATTCCTGTGTGTACGTGTACTTGATTGAGTGGTCGCTGATAGATGCCGAGTAGGATTTCGCTGACGTCTATATCGCCGGGCGTCTGACTCTGCAAGCCATCAACAAGGGCTACGGCACGGAGCACATCGTGGATACCAATAGTGGGCCAAGAACCAAGAGTGATAAGAGTGGACCCCGTCATTACAAGTTGATTCTGCTCCTCGACATCTTTGCGACGTTTCCTTAGCCAGCACATTGAACCGCCGCCATGGTGATCAAATCCCAGTACTCGGTCCCTATACCCCAGGTCTCACTACCAACGTACATCTTCGACTCGCCTACTGTGGAACTACCGAAAGAACCGTTTTATCTTTCAGCAAGCGAACCTGAAAAGTACAACATCTCCTTACACGATCTCCGTCTCTATGCGAAACGCTTCGCTTCAGGTCTGCAGCGCGCAGGCCTTCAACCAGGAGACCGCGTGTTAC